ACAACAAGTCCCAGGCAGTCCTTGCAACGTGTCTCAAACAGTGCTTGCAGCTTTTCCAAAAACAGTGCCTGCAGCGTCCTCGGCAACAGTGCTTGCCAGTGTTCCCCTCTCAGTGCTTGCAGCGGCTCTTCAAACAGTGCTTGACTCGTCCAGGCTGTGCTTGCAACGTCTCACTAGTGCCTTTCAGTGCTTGCAGTGTCCTGCGGGGCGTGGAACGTCTTACAGCGTGCGCAGTGTCTCTGCAACCCAGCGGTGGAAACAATGTCCCCGTGGCGCTCTCAGAAGGACTCACCGTTAACATCGTTATAACCACCATCGTCACCATCGTCATCATCACCGTCTTCCGTCTCCTCCTTCTCCTCCCCCTTCCCCCCCCGTTCCTTCTTCTCCGTTGCATCATTCGTATCCTCATCCTCCTCTTGCTCCTCCTGCTCCTCCTCCCCCTCCTCCTTCTCTTCCTCTTCCTCCCCCTCAGTCTCAAACTCTTTATTGGAATCCTCACCCTCCTCCTCATCCTCATCCTCCTTCACATGCCCCCCCGCCAGCAGTCAACAATCAGGCACATGTTGATGCCTACCAAAGTGGTCATAGTCTATATTGGCGCAGTGTCCGAGCCAGTGCTTGCAATTCTACTACAAAACGTCGTTTGTACTATGTTCGGCGCAGTGCTTGCAGCGTTTCCCCATGCAGTGCTTCCAACCTCTCCTCAAACAGTGTTTGCTACGTCTCGGCAGGGGGTTCGGTATGGGCAGTGGACAACGTTCAATGTTGATGTGGTGATGTGAGGATGTGATGGTATTGCCGTTTTGGCTCAAACCGAGGAGATCCTGCTTCCAGCTTGCAGTGCTTGAGGCCCTCTGTCCTGTGTTGAGGCTTCAGTTTCTGTGTCGCACACAGCATGGACCAACACATCGAGGATGTGCCGATGCCGTTGGCGATCGGGGGTTTGGTTGCAGGCGGCCCTCCAGATGCAGACGGCGATGATCACATTGCCGTGCCGCCGCCTCTGGCGCCTCCGGCGCCAGCGCCCCCTGCCCGCCTCGATATCAAGAGAAGGACGCCCGAGCTCATGAGCCACGCTCGTTCCAAGAAGATGTTGTTGTGCGCCCAGAGCCGCGAGTCGAAGCTCCGCCAAGACTTTGAACAGCTCAAAGGGGACATGCACACGGCTTGTACGTTGATCCCTGCATGTGCCCAATTGTTCGGGCGGCCCGTGAAACGCGTCGGCAGGATCAAAAAGGACGACCTCGGACCAGCACATTTCACCGTCTTGGCCAGGATTGTCTTTGCCAGACGCCTGGGCACGCTGAACATTGGCATCGACATTCGGCGGTTGGTGTGCGCCGCAGCCCGCGTGATCAAGGCCAGACAGGATGATGGCGTGGAGCACGTCCTCCGCGGCGGTGAGAAGGCTTTGCAGCACCCAGGTGCCATTAATCGGTTCGCCCACGTGTCATATGCTCATTTGTGGAACGAGGTCAACTGCAAGTTCGCAGCATATCCGAAGATGGGGCGCCGCCGCAGGAAGACGACCACGAGCATTCGGACGATCTGCCAGCGAGGTTACGCCAGGCTGACCTTGGCCAACCACATCAACGACGAGAGCGCGATCAGCAGATCGTTCTGCGAGCAGATCCTTGTCAACCCGATGAAGGTGAGCGGCACTTCAGCCAATGCGATCCTACCCGCTGTGTTGAAGACAATCCCGCGGCCATTCCAGTTCAACGCCGTGGGGAATATTGATCGGTTGTTGCGTTCGTTCTCGTCCTTCACGATGTCTCTGACTGGTGACAAGGCGTCTGGGGACATCCTCTTGATGAAACAATTCTGTCACCAGTGGGAAACGATGGTGCTTCCGCGCAGCAGTGGTCGGCTCCTTGTGTTCCCAGAGACGCGTGGCGTGCACTTAGTACACCGCGCAAAATTGCAAGTTGTACCGCTCAAGCACCGCGCAATGCGCCTCTTCAGCTTAGTCAACTTGCTTCGCCTTGACGGTGTGCGGACCAGCATATGCGAGTCGATCGAAGTTCTGGTGCAGAAGATGCTCAAGCGACGGGTCCTCGGCCCGCCGCCAGACGGCATTGCCTGCCCGCTGTCCAAGTGCATCAACGTTCTCTTCCGCCCAGATGCGGACCACCACAAGCGCGCCAACGGCAAGGTGTCTCGCAGGGTACAGGACCTGGGCGAATTGATGAGCATGGTCGACGGGGGTCTCCACGGAGATTGGGTGCATTATTGCTGGGGCGAGTCAACTGGCAGGCCGCGTTGCAGGGGCGCCGACACTTGCTGCGACAGAACAATTCGTCCGGTCACGAATGCGCTGTATGGCGGCGGGGACCCTGTTCCAGCAGAAAGCAGATGGACGCACACCTTGGTCAATATGAAACAGTTGCTGCTGAGGCGAATCGTGTGCAATATCGGCGTGAAGGCGTTCCCGTTTTCGATCAGAAAACCTGGCGCAGCCAGCGAGATGCCGCAATCCGCCGACGGCGAGGCATGTCAATCGCACGTCGCTGAGGTGAATGCGTCGCGGCTGACACGGGTGGGCGTGTATTTTGATGACCCCAAGACTTTTCCAGAGCTGGCCTTGCTCATGGTTTCCGTGGACATCATCGACAGGCGTCTGTTGTGCCCACTTTTGGGCGACCCATGGCCCGCGGATGACGACGCCCGCAGCAAATTCGAGTGTCTCCTGGGCCCAGATGATAGGATTGCATGCGGCTGCTCCCGCCGCCGCGCCAGCCCAGCCGCGTCGGTGGTTTTTGCGCCAGGGGGCGCGTGCGTTTTACAAGTGGCGCGTTTGGTTTTTCAAACTAAGATAATACCTCTAGACAGACCCCCCCGCCCCCCCCCCACCCACCCCCCCACCATGCGGCCTCGGACCCTCATCCTGTTATGACGGCCAGGGGCTATCTCGCGCTCGAAAGAGACGGCGGGATACGATGGCGAATGGCTTCTCTGCTTGACTAGCGAACACGGGTAACCCGAGTGGCGGATGGCGACGGCGATTCTCAACATCCCGCGAGGGAGGCGCCCGAAAACAGTAGCACGTACACGCTTAGTCACTACGGCTGCTTCAGGAAAACTGACCACGGCGACGCACGATGGTGGTTGGGGGGGGAGGAGGAGAAAGGAGGAAGGAGGAAGAGGGAGGACAGGAGGAAGAGGATGGGGAAGAGGGGGAAGAGGTCAAGAGAGGGAGGAGAAGAGGAGAATAGGGGGGAAAGGCACTAAGCAAAACGAAGATAAGACATTCCCGCCCGTTTCGCTCCGAGACAATTCTCTCTGGGGGGGGGGGGGGGCAGGGTAGGGGGGGCCGTGGGGGGGGATAGGGGGGGGGAGGGGGGGGGACGGGGGGGGGGGGGGGGGGGGCAGGGGGGGGGGGGGCGGGGGGGGGGGGGCAAGGGAGAGAAGAATTGTCATGCGCGGCCCGTCCGTCTTCACTTTGGGGCCGAAATTATTATTAGGTGGTGTCTCAGGCGAAACACGTATGCAAGACTGGCGGTGTCAACACATTGGCGTTGCAATACTGCCACGTTCTTCTGCGATATTAGAGTTCATCTCGGGTCGGTTTGAAATTGGCGCCTGAACACTGGCCTTTGGAACTGTTATTTGTTTCCGCGGGCCTAGGCGACGCGGTCACCGTTTTCGTCCGCCTCGAACGGCCGAGTCGTCGCACATGACGGCGCTGGCGCCTGCCCCGCCCTCGGCGCCTCTCCCGCTCAGACGCGGCGGAGGTACCGCGCGTGACGCTTCCGAGACGTGATGCCGAAATGTGCCATTGGTGTCACATGTGACAAAGGCGTGCCCCCTCCCCCTGCGCAACTTCCCGACGTGGCGAGGATGTCTCAGGCGATGCGCCCATTTCCAGGGGGGGGCGCGCGGGCGCGCGGAAGCGCGTGCAGAGGGGGGTAGGAGACTACCATAAACCGCACCAGACAGCACGACATCGCGGCCCAAGTGCCAGCGGTGGCGGATAGTTTGCTCGGCCACTGTTTGTCAGAGTTATTGCATGCACTTGAATCGTGGCTTCATGGCGGCGAGAGGGATCCGCTGGTTATCCTCGACGCAGTCCAGGCGCCGATGAGGGGCCCTGGCTATGCGCGCTTCGCGCGTTCATGCATCCTTCGTCTGAGTTCTGCGATCAGCCGAAGGTGGGATCTTCGGTACTCGAGCTGGCCGCGCCCGCTCTTCACGCTTTGCAGCGCCCACTCATCGGAAGAGCAGCGCAGGGATGTTGCGCGGCGACTGCTCGATGCATCGCGCGAGGAGCTCGGCGTGCACGCGTGCGGCGTGAAGCGCCGCTTCAACACCGTGCCTCTGCTGATGAGTGAGGCGTGCAGGAAAACATTGCTGGCTGATTTTCGCACGTTCGGATTCTCCACCGACATCACCGAGAGGCTCAACGCGGAGATTCAGGCTGGTCGAGTGCATCGTGCGCCAGGTCGCGTCTTCGGCGGGGCGTCCAGGGAGCAGCTGCTGCAGCAGGCGCTCGCCGTGCACGAGAAATGCGGCGGCGTCGACCCGTTGAGCACGAAGCGAGACGCAGCCCTGAAGTCGTCGGACCTTCGAGTGCAGGCGCAGCCATTCATTGCCGCTGTTCGGCCTGAGTTTCTTCCAATTGCAGGTGGGCCCGATGGCGCTGCTGCGAGCGCCGCGGCGCCTGAGCCTGTGGCCGTCGACCGCCCCGTGGAGACCGTGCTGGCGAACGCCTCCATCCTGCCGGGCGCGAGGGCGGTGGGAGCTGGCGGGGCCGATGGCGGCGGCGGGCCACCTGGCGGCGGCGACGGCGGCGGACCTCTGCCCCCCGTCGGCGCGGATTGAGCTCGTGCATGCTGGAATTGAACCAGACGTTGGCGAGTCTGAAGAGGGCGAAGGGCTCCGCCTTGACGCCCGAGGAGCTGAGCACGGCTCGCAGCAGGTTCAGGGAACAGTGGCAGCTCATGAATCATGACGCTCGCCACGAGGCCTTCGAGGATTGGCAGAACACGCCTGCAGAGATGGTGCCCGCTGACGCCCAGGCGCCCGCGTATGCCACTTCCTGGGGTCGAGGTTGCCGCTCGTCCCCGATCTCCTGCGAGGAGTTCTACGAGTGGCATCACTTGCACGGTTGGCCGACCAAGGACATGCGGGTGTACAATTTTGCAAACTTCACGGTGGCATGGGAGGAGGGAGAGGAGGAGTAGGAGGAGCACGTGGAGGAGTAGGAGGGGGGATGGGGGGGGGGGGGATCGAGGCTGGATGGGAGGGGGGAGGAGGAGGAGACAGAGGAGAAGGAGGATGAGTAAGAGAAGGATCAGCAGATCGCATTCGGATGCTTCCGCCTAGCAGGAAGACTTCGAGTGCGATGCTGCCGACGACCTGGTCGTCCGCGCTGAGCCCATCCCTGACCTTCCAGACTTCAGCCTGTGGGGCTGCGGCAGGAAAGCTCGGCCTGTTCCTCGGGCAACGGTGCCAAACGTTCAGCAGTTCCACTTGATAGAAAATGGCATTCACAACCTCCTGGCACGTTTAACGAGGCCCGCCGCCGATGTCGGCGACGTGTTGATCATGGTGGAGGGCCACTCACTGGAGAACCCAGCCAGCCGGATGCGCTTCGTGGGTATCATTTCGGGCACGTTTTACAATCCGAAGGTGATGCGTCCGCTAATATGTAACCGCCCTCCCTAAGCCCATTCAGAAACGACCGCTGCCCATCCAGAAATCTGATTTGCCCGGCGTCCGCTAGTGCATCCCCGTCAGCCCATCCACTAACGACCAATCCCATGCAGAGACGATATTGCCAACGCCCCAGCCCATCATAAACGACATGAGACATGCACCCCTGTCAGCCCATCCGTGAACGACCGACGTCCGAACGAGTTGCCTTGGCCGCGGAATTCCACGGGGGGAGTCAAATTGTAAAAGGGGTTCTGGGCACGCTCTGAAGGCTCTCGAGGTGACAGTCTGGGCGCAGTTTTTTTTTTTTTTTTTTTTGGGACGGGGAGCTAGCGGGGAGTGGCGCCACCTGTGACGCCGTCTTGCGAGCATCTTGGGTTCTTGGGGCATCATAGCATCACAACATCACGGTCTTGGGATCCTCCTCATCTCCCCCCCTCCCCCTCCTCCTCCTCCTCTTCGCCCATCCTCCTCGTCCTCCTCCTCCGTATCCTCCCACTCACTACCTCTTCTTCCCCCCCACCCCACCCCAAGGGCGCCCCAAGACGCTCCCTCAGGCTACTCAGGCGGACACCGCGGTAGACCGCCAGTCATCCACGATGAATCCCAGCGCCCCCTCTAGGCGACCTCGTCGAAGTCCGCGGTCGGGGGGGGGGGGGGGGGGGGGGGGGGTTGAAGCCAAGGCGCCGCCTGAGAAACCCTTTCCCTTCCTCCCCATCCTCCTTCTCCGCCTCGTCCGCCTTGAGGGCGCCGTGCGCTGTGCTCCTAGGTCGCCCATCGACCCGAGGTGTTTGATAGCGCGCCGAACGCGTTCCAAGTGAGAGCGAATGCCCACAGCTACGTGCTACACACGCCGTGTCTTGTGGAGATCGATGTTCAGAACTGTAGGAGCGCTGGTCGATTTCATTGTATTGGCTATGAATCTTCAGATCACTTTGTACTGGAGTTGGTTCGGAACCTGATCGACATGGATTTGTACTTAGTGGATTACGACGTGGATGTCGATGTTGATAACAATCTGAAGTGGAGCAGGATCTCAGCTGTGCACTTGCAGAGTGAGCTGTGGAGGGCGGGGATGACGCGCCCGTTCGGGCACCAGGGCCCCAGCAGCCGTGGGCCTTCTGCGTCCGACCTGGGGATGCTGAACGCCAGCGACCCCTTCGAGACGCTTCCTGGGCGCGGCGCTGGGCGCGGCGCTGGGCGCGGCGCTGGGCGCGGCGGCCGCCGCGGAGGGGGCGCAGGCAGAGGCCGCGGCCACGGATCCGTAGATGGCGAGGGTCTCGGCGGCGGCCCCGACGCCCACGGCGACGTCGACGACGTCGACATGCCGGCGTTGGTCGGCGACTTGCTACCAGCTGGCGCGGCGATTGGCGAGGATATGGACCTGCTGGAACACGAGGCCGAGGATGCCGACCTCGACGGCATGGAGGAGTTGGGCGACACGTTCGGCTTGGAGGACGGCGTCATCGATGGGCACCCTCCAGAACTGGTCGGCGAGGACGGCGGGGACTTGGACGAGCATGGCGACGCTCGCGGCGCTGAGCTCCTTGGGGTACCAGCTGAAGTACCCGATGAGATCGCAGCTGGAGCGGCAGACGGCGCTGCTGACGTCGGCCTGGAGCCTGGGCCTGGCGAGGCCGAGGAGCCGCCCGCGCCTGCGGCACCGCCCCCGCCGCCGCCGCCAGGGCCGCATGATCTCGTCGGCCCGACGCCGAGTGGATACTTCCACCTGGATGGTCGCCAGGTGTTGCGCATTTTGCGCGGTCATCCTGCCAGCAGCGTGACAGTGAATTGCTATCATACTGGCCTTCGGCGCATCCCGCCACCGCGCCTGAGTTGTCGGTCGGGGGCATATGTCGGCAGCATGCCCCCCCCTCCGCTGCGCCTCGCCAGCGGAACAAGTTCCTCAATCTGCCTCACGTGGTACCGAATACGTGTCACTCGAGACATGGCCGTTGTATGCCTCAAGTTGCACCGACCAAGTGCCACTCGGAGCATGTCGCCACTATGCCTCAAGTGGTACCGAGCAACATGCCACTTGAAGCATGTTGGCAATATGCTTCAAGTGGTACGGAGTAGGTTGCACTTGAGGCATGCCTGTTGTATGCCTCAAGTGGGGCCGATGAAGCACCACTTGGGGCATGTCGTCAGTGTGCTTCCAGTGGTGCCGATCACGTACCACTTGATGCATAGTGGCGCGCCTGCGCGCGGGTGGACCAGAGATATTTCACAGGTTGGGCGCTGGTCCCCTGGATGACTCCTCGGGGTTGAGGCCTGAAACTCAAGGGATGCGGCAGAAAGCCCGACGGCACGCCCACTCCGTGCCTCGAGGCGCGGTGGCGGGTATGCATGCTGGCTGCAGGCTGTGCATCGGCGAGAGTCGGTGCCCATCGGACGAGGTCTTGAAGACCTGGCTGTTCAAGGTGCCAGCAGCAGCCCCTGGCGCGTCCGCCGCGGAGCAGCGAGAGCTCATGCAGCGGCGCGCGCAGCTGGCCAAGGACAGGTGGTACGTGAACAAGAAGGCCGAAGCCAAAGCGGCACCTGCGCCTCCTGGTGAAAACATCAAAGAGCCCCCTATCAGGTCTTCCAGAATCGGTGGCCCATCCGGAAACGATTCTCCGATGTCGCCAGCCGTCCAGCATCGGAACTGCAGATATTGAATTGCCAGCCCAGCCGCTGAGACCCGAAGAACAGCGGTCGAGCCAGCTCATCCAGAGGCGATGCCAGCCCAGCCCATTCAGAGGCAATGCCAGTTGCCAGCTCATCCAGAAACGATGCCAGCCAAGCCCATCCAGAAACGATGCCAGCCTGCCCTGGCCCACCCCGAAGCGACACCACCAGCCCATCCAGAAACTGCGTTCATCTGTCCAGGAACGATGCTCCATGGAGGGGCTAGTTTCCAGAAGCCAAGTGGGCGTACGCAGTGACAATGAGGGATTCGCAGTGCCACTCATGCTTCGGTGTGCGTCTCTGTTCGCACAAATTCGGCTTGCATGTCTTGAATGCGTATTTCCGCATGTATGCATGTTTGTGCATGTCGATATATGTAGCTATATGTATGTATGTGTATGTGTGTATGTATGTAGGTGATGATGTTTGCATGTATGTGTGTATATGCATGTGCATGTAGATGTGTATGTGCGTGTAAGTGTGTTCATCTACGGTATGTTACGTGTAACGTGTAACATTCGATCCACATGGCTTGCGGCAGCCCCTGTCACTGTGCCTGGGCGATGGGTCAGAGGCGTCGTGGGTGTTGGTTGGGAGCTCGTGGTTGGCCTCTGCAGGGCTCCTGCGAGGCAGACTCGAGGCGTCTGGAAGCCTCTTGGAAGCAGGTGCGGTGCCTCACGGGGCCCCTTTGGCGTCTCGTGGGCGCCTCTTTTGGGCATCTTGGGGCTTCTTGGCGGTCCTCGGGGCCTCTTGGAGGGCGTTTGGTGGTATCTTGGGGCGGGAGAGGGGGGTGGGCGATTGCGGCTCCCCACTCGGAGGCTAAGATCTTCGCGAGGTGCGTCGAACCATAGATCTCCCCAAACTCATGGGGGGAAATGGCGCAGCACGGCTGAGGCCACGATCCTCGCGAGGGGTGTAGAACGTTGTAATCCCATGGATCCCATGGGATCTCCCCCCCCCTTCCCCTTTGCCCCCCCCCCCCTCCCCCTTCCCCCCTTCAGTCCGGTGCCCCCGCGGGGGGGTGCCAAACAGAGTGACCTCCCCGCGTTTCTCGAGGCGCGCGGCGTGGGGAGCAGGGGGGGGGGGGGGGGGGGGGGGAAGTGGGTTCTGCCCTGAAACAAAATCCAATAACCTCACATAAGGAACTATGTAATGTTTAGAGGGTTGTGTGTCTATGTGTGTGTGTACGTGGCATGTGTAACACTATTATGTGTCAGTGGTGGTGTCTCTATATGATCGTATGCGTCCACTCGTAACTGCCATGTTTCGGTTTGCACCGTTGTACCAAAGTACGTGTAACAAACAGATGGTTGTTCCCCATATCTTAAGATGGGGGCCTTCTTATTACTTGGACGCCTCCTCCTCCCTCCTCCCTCCTCCTCTTTTCTCCTCCCCTCCTGTCGGACTTACTCATGCTCACACTTGCTCATACTCAGACTTACTCATACGCAGACTTACTCATATTCAGATTTACTCATGCTCAGACCTACTCATACTCAGACTTACTCACACTCATACATACTCATACACACACTTACGCATACACAGACTTACTCACACCCATACGTACTCATACACAGCTACTCATACACAGACTTACTCATACTCAGGCATACTCATACTCAGACCTACTCATACTCAGACTTACCCAACACATATCAGATTTGGAGGATGTCTCAGGCGGGACGCTCGTTTCAGCGCCCCTAAGGGGAGCCGCCAGGGGTGATTGCACGGGTTCGTCGCGGCCATTTTGTGGGGATGTCTCAGGCGGTTTGCCTGTTTCCGGGCTCAACATCCTTCGCTTGGAGAGCAGATTGTGGGGATGTCTCAGGCGGGGCGCTGGTTTCAGCACCCCTACGGGGAGCCGCCAGGGGTGGTTGCACGGGCTCGTTCGCGGCCATTTTGTGGGGATGTCTCAGGCGGTTTGCCTGTTTCTGGGCTCAACATCTCGCTCTTTTCGCGAGCAGATAGAAAGATTTGGAGGTGTTGGGTGTCTCGAGCGAGGCGCTCATTTTCACCCCCCAGGTGGGCCCGATTTTGAGGGTGTCTCGATCGGTTTGCTTGTTTTGGTGGCCAGGCTCGCGGCACTAAGGGGGGCCGCCAGGGGTGGTTGCACGGGCTCGTTCGCGGCCATTTTGTGGGGATGTCTCAGGCGGTTTGCTTGTTTCTGGGCTCAACATCCTTCGCTTTCGGAGCAGATTTGGAGGATGGCTCGAGCGAGGCGCTCATTTTCACCCCCCAGGTGGGCCAGATTTTGAGGGTGTCTCGATCGGTTTGCTTGTTTTGGTGGCCAGGCTCGTCGGCGC